CAACTTCCATTTCATGTTGATTTTACAATATACAATATTACAAATTACAATATACAATGTAAATCCCCCTAATATTCTGTCTCTCCCTCCAATATTCAGATTTGAAGTTGACTGGTATGGGTTCAGTGTTTAAATATAATGACATTTGGTCTTCCAATTCTGAATATTTGGTGACATTCTTGCCTACAGCTACAATGGGTTTAACCGTTTAAGGGCAGAGAGGTGTGTGATGAGAATGAGGCAGTAAAATGTATTTGTTATAGGGTAAGTAAGCATAGATAGTGCTTGTTGAAATGCTTCTGTGGTGCTGAGTAAGCTGAAAGAGACAACGAGAGTGATATTGTTTTCTTTGCCCCAATTAGAAAAAAAATAGCCAGTGAATAATTTTATGCTCGTTTTGCATTGCTTTTGTGGGCTAATTTTCATTTTTGGGTGAACTAACCCTTTAATGTAGTTCACCTAAAAATGAACATTCTGTCATAATTTATGCATCCATCCATCCATCCAATAAATGAATAAATGAATAAATAGTCTGTAATTTTGTGCATTATATTTTTCTGTACCATTATGAATCAGCTGAGTAATGGCCTTAATTATAAAAAGTGTTGAAAGATGATGGGATGTACAGCCTCTGGAATTTTTTAACTTTGTGAAAAGCTAGGTGGTGTGACAGTGGACTGTGCAGATTATGTTATGCTGTTTATACCACAGTATGTATTTGGGCAGGAATGCTTTACATTACACATGAGAGTGTCAAAGAAACACGGAGAAATGTGAAAACAGATTGGGATGCACCTCAAACAAGTCAAGACAAGGAAGAACTTGTTATTAAGGGTGTGATGTAAAGCAGCAATTAGTTAATTACAGTTGCTGAGCAACATCACAGTTTGCCACATTAAGAATTCATCTGATGTGTGTCACAGGTGTAAATCAGCTATGCTGCTTTCAAATGCTGCTTCTAATGCGTCTCATTCCATCGGAATTTAGAGTGGGAACTTTTATTGGAACGTTTGAGTTTATTTATTTTTATTTTTTTTTATTATTATTTATAATTTTTTATTTATTTAAATTTTATTTGTCTTTAAGTAGTATTTAAGTATTTAATTCATATAAATGGTTTTGAATTACCATAAAAATGATGATTGTATTGTGATACTGGTACCAGATGAGGTGTCCCATTTTGGTATCCACATCAAATTAAATGTACAAACGTTATTGTATATGCATGGAAAGCATTTTAAATGCAAGTCAAGTGTCTATTTAACAATTCATAGTCATAGTCGGGGACTCTCCATAGGCGTAATGGTTTTTATACTGTACAAATTGTATTTTCTATCACCCTACACCAACCCTACAGTGCCTACACCTAGGGCTGCACAATTAATCGAATTTCTAATCGCAATTACATAAATAATCGCAATTACAATTTCAAGGGAATAATCGACAATTATGATTTTTGTCATAATCGTGCAGCCCTACCTACACCTAAACCTACCCCTTACAGAAAACTACTGGCAATTTTTGAATTTCATAAAACACCGTTTTGTGTTTTTTTTTTTATGCCTTTTGTTTTATGGGGACACAGGAAGTGTCCTCATAAACCATGTTTACGTTGTAGTACCCATGTCAATACACATTTGTGTCCTCATAAATCATATATACCAGTACACACACACACACACACACACACACACACACACACACACACACACAGATCGATAGTTACTCATACTGTGATAGGCCTGTAATATTTTTGTCTTGTAAATGATACAGATGTGTGTGGGTAGGCAAGGTTGACTGTTACAGCAATCATTACCATTTGCCTCACTGTTCGTATTTCTGACATTTTATCAGTGAGTCATATCTGTCATATCTGTGAGCTATATGTCTGTCATTTTGTCTTAATTTGTCTTATTGTTGATCTTTTACAGACAATATTTGATTTCTCAAGCTTGCATCCTTTTGCACCGCCTCATGTGTCATGTGTACGCATAGGTGTGCCCGGGAGTTTGACTGCAAACACATTGACTCGGTTAGCACAACATACAGTGCAAATGCAAATAGTGATGGGAAGCAAATGTGTGTCTTACAAGTAAGTAAATAGCTAAAGAAGGTGCATAGACTATTCTGTGAGATCTTTAATTGTTTAGTCCAGTGGATTTTAATCCAGCTTCACTCTTTTCAGTGACTCAGCAGGATCAAAAATAACTTCCTGGAATTCTCATCATGACAGTATTCCTTGTCATGTGGGTTCTTGTAGGCTGTCTTGGCACTTTTTTCTTGTATATAAAATACATTTTATATGTGTGTCACAGTTTCCACAATATTAAGCATCACAACTGTTTTCAACATTAATAATAACATGTTTTTGAGCACCAAATCAGAATATTAGAATGATTTCTCAAGGATCATGTGACACTGAATATTGGAGTAATGGCTGTAATGGATGTAGTGAATGGCTGCAACATAATTTTAGACTCTATAGATATGGGTATGGTGCCTGAGGTGGGACAGCTCTAATGCAGAGTTGTTGTTCCTCCAGATATGCATTAAAAATATATAGGACCGTATGAAATTTTTTTCTCTTGCCTCCTAAAAACTTGTGCTGAAGAGCTTGGCCCAGTCTGGTGCACACTTTTCCAATGCTCATTCGATTCACATAAGGTTTCTGCGTTGTGGAAAAAAAAATGGTGATTACCCCATTACCACAGAAGTCTTGCCCAGCTGAGAATAGTGATTTTAGTTTCATTTACATGTTTCTTCAGTTGTAATGAAATGTTTTGAGAAATATTTCATGTCTTTATTGAAAACTGAGGTAAATTTTAAATTAAACCCATGACAATTTGCTTATAGATAAGAGATACTTTTTATTGATTTTAGTTCGGCTTTTAATGCTCCTCAGTCATATTTGTTGTTGGATAAGTTAAAGAAGATAGGTGTAAACCTGATCATTATTAATTGGTACTTTTATTTTTTTTAACTAATAGAGTACAACAGGTAAAGGCAATTTCTGATCGCAAGTTCATTAGTACTGGCATTTTTTGTTTGTTGGTTACAGAGCATATTTTCTGTGAAATTCGAAGAGCCAATGGGAAAATTCTGTTAGTTTTTGTCAAGGGAACCAAGGCAATTCTAACTTCTTAACTTGTGTTGGCCTACAAAAATCATCATGGTAGCGCTCTATTAATTCTGCATATAAAATTGCTTGTTCAGCAACCCTAAAAAACTAAACTCTGCTAGTGTAGTTCATAGCATTATTCCTATAACGAATGATTGTAAAATTCAAGTACCATGATATTTTACTTACCATGGTATGTCCCAAAGATCTTTGTGATACCATATGGATTTATTAGAAGCTTAGAGAAAACAAAGAATAATCTGCATAACCAGAAGAGAGCTGTGCAACCCAGAAAATGTTGATGAACTGAAACACATTTGTAGGGAGGAAAGGTCCAAAATGTATCCTCAATGTTGTGCAAATCCTATAAGCAGCTACAGGGAACATTTGGTGGAGTTTTTGGTGCTGCTAAAGGATGATTTAAGTTACTAAACTCAATGGGTCACTAAGTTCTTTGGTTATTTGTGTGTTGTTAGTTTTGTAAGATTGTGTCAGATCAAAAAATCCAAAATGGTTTACAGACTTTTCATTGCAACTATACACAAATACTTTAGAGGCTTGAACATAACATGCTTCCAGTACTGATGGATCTCAGTTAGTCACAGGGCATGTTGCTCTGTCTTGCTCCTGAATAGATACTTTGTATCCACCAACTCTTGGCAATAGGGCATTATCTCCACTTGGTCATACTTTATCCCTCCAGTGAATTCATTGCACAGACAGGGCTTTTGAACATTTGTAACGTAATGATTGTGTAATGCTTTGTACCCCTGCATCAGGTTAATATTCATCCAAATGCACACGTGGCTTTCACCTCTCTGATCTTAATAAGAGTATTGTCTGGAAGGTTGGACCTCTCATATGATGTCTTCTTGTTAAAAATATCAAGACAATTTTTAAAGTCCTTGTATATCACTTGCCTGTAATTTCAAAGCCACGAGGACTGCATTTAATGGTTTTATTGTTGAGATCCTCATGTCAATCCCTTCAAACAAGGGGAAGTCTGAGGACAAGGAATAAGGTGGTTCTCAATTCTGGTCCTGGCGCCCCACTGCTCTGCACATTTTCTATGTCTTTCTGATTAAGATCAGAACTCTTGTTAGAAGAAAACTCCATGAACTAAACTGGGGTGCGTTTCTTAAAAGCATTGTTAGCCTAGTATAGTTGCAAGTTTCATCGTTGCCAACATAGTTCAATGATTTGCTGTTTCCTGAAACCATAGTTCAAACGAACATTCCCAAAAATATTTTTGCGATAGCATTTCTAAAAGGAGATGTTTTGCAGAATGCTGTTGTTGTTATTGTCCATACACAGTGCTAGTACTAGCAGTCCATACTCTGATTACCATGCTCTGATTGAAAGTCTTCTGAAGGCAAAAATAGTTATTTGTGAGGTCCATATTTAATTGATTTCTTGCAGAAAACCTTCTCCTCCACTATGCCCTGTCAAATTATGATATGATGAAACTTCATTTGCCCTCATTTGCATCATCACTTTAGAACTTCATCACTTCAGTAGAACAGAATGTACGTGTAAAATAATAATAAAGGGCCCATGAGTTGTTAATGTGATATTATATGTGCATACCCTCCCTGCATATCCATGCGCTGCACCACTGGCTTTTCTGTACAACAGGGGTGCCCAATCCTGTTCCTGGAGATGTACTAACCTGCAGAGTTCCGTTCCAACCCTGATCTAACACATTTGTCTGTAATCAAGTGCTTCTAAAGTTTTTAAATAGCTGGTTTGGTTGTGATCAGGGTTGGAGCTGAACTTTACAGGAAGGTAGATCTCCAAGAACAGAATTGGCCACCCCTGGTGTACAACATGCAAGCAAGTTGCTTGGTTCATATTTCATCCTCTCTTTCCTCTTTTTTTGCAGTTCTGTCCTCACATCCATGGTGGCGAACCTATCTGATGGAAAGGAAGGCTGTCAAACAGCTCAACATGGTCTCCAGGTTGCCCAAGTTTGCTTCCTGTCCCTCAGGCACCACCATGACCGCCCTTCCCCAAGGATCTGCCCCAGAGTCCAAAGGTGGACCTCTAGTCAGGCACAATAATTTGACACGTCTACAATCCCTAAATTGGAGAAAGGGTGAAGAGGACATTGGAAATAAAGTTCAACACTCTGACAGCTTGGATGAGGAGACTAGTGTAACACCAGTGATGGTGACTAAAAAGCCTTCCCCTGCAGCTGCTGTAAAATGTAAAAATGCAGTCCCCACTTCACGAAGTAGTTGCCCCAGGAGCATACCCCAGCCTATTAAAACCTTTCCCCGCATGACTACTCCGAAATTCCTCTTAACAGGGAATCCCCTGAATAATGACATGGCTTCTCAGAAAGGAGTAAGTGTTGGTAATGGGCGATGTGGCTCCTCAGGGCCAGGTGTTGGTCATGTATCCCAACAAAGAACCCTGCAGAGCAAACTATCCCTGTCCAACGACAGCATCAAGTCTGACTCTAAAGACAGCATAGTTCGCTCTCAGAGTTTCACCCACTTCAAGAGGGCAACATGCCCCACCAACCCACCTATTACCCGTTCCTTCTCCTTTAACAAAGCTACAGAGCTTGCTAAAGAACTTCCCAGACCATTGGCACAGTCTCCAGTAGCGAAATCATCCCTCATACAGCCAAATACAGTATTATCCGAAGAGAAAGTAAATAAATATGGAATTCCAAGGCCTGCTGTAACTACTAGCAGTCATCTTTTGCAAACGAACACAATAAAGAAATCCCTTTTACCCAGCTTTTCAGGTAAAAAACCTTCTGTGCTCAGTTATAGACTTACATGTCCAACACTAACCAAACATCCCTGCCCTGTTCTCCTTGGAATTGTCCAAAAAGACACAGAATTGAGTAAAAATGTCCAAGACACTACAAAGATAGCAGAAACCAGTTCAGAACCAAGTAGCAACATTGAAAGTATTGAAACTTCCCCAAATGAGACTTATTTTGAAGCAAAGGAGGCTGAGGGGAGTCTGGGCCCCTCCTTGGAGGACATGTCGCTATCATCGTCCTCCTCTGTGGAGCACAATGACACTAGTGAAGAGTACATGGATGACTTTGATAATCTCGGGAATGGAGGTGAGACCCTGCTGCCTGTCCTCAATGAGGGGTTAGACCACTTTGGACTATGTAAAGATGACAACGCTCTAATTAGCAAGTGCAATGAGGAATCATCGGTGACCAGCCTGCACACCTTCTTATCCGAAACTGTTGACTGGGCAGGGATGGGCCTTGCAGGTGTGACTGAGAATCAATCTATTTCCATTACACCTCATAACAACTTTTTGTGTTTCTGTGTCTGACATTTTGACTGTTCAAACCCTAGTTAGCTGACTTGCTGTCTGCAGCCTACATTGGTTGCTACCTTCAGAGTGTGATACTGTACATGCTCCCAAAGATAAATACTTTAATGTTCATAAATGCAATAATTGAATGGTTCTCAAATATATTCTTAAGAACATTTTTTTTTCTTAAGAATAAAATTACAGGCTTAATTTGGTTGACGGTTCTTGCTGAAGACTCACTGAATAACTCATGGAAAATACCTCAAAGACTTTTTGTGCTGCCTGCAGATTACTATAATAATCATAATGAGTGCACAACTATTTCAGTTATGCCTGGCTTGACAGGAGTTTAGCACTTGCCGTCAGGGTTTACTAATGACAGGTTGATGTTAAATTTTCTCGTAGACACAAGCCAGTGTGATTTCAGCTTGAATAGCTGTAAAATTATACAATAATATAGTGTTGAAAGGTGAAGTGTTCAATTTTTTCATAGTTAAAATAGATTCTCTTATCTCAGTATGTACTTTACATTTATACTGTGTATATTTTTATTGGCACTTCTCAGCATTGTATGTAATGCTGTATTGCATTTCCGCAAAGGATGTATTTGATGCTACCTTAGATTTTTGCCAAAACAGGGTACCTTAGAAGGCAGCATAATTATGTAATATTGTCACTAAGATTACTTTAAAAAACAGCTATATTACCCTTTCTAACTGAGTATATTGTCTTTCTTTCAGCTGGTAAAGATGGCTTTGAGCATGAGACGTTGTCTCCTTTAGGTGATTTTCCTCATGGATCGTCTTTGGACCTGTCACCTTCAGACAGCTCTGGAGGCACTTACATGTGGGACGAGGAGGGAATGGAGGCACTGGGAAGCTCTGGACACCCCTGTGGAAGCTTTGACTCTGATCTCAACAGCATGGTGAGTCCAAAGACTTTGACTGACAACAAAAATATTTTTTCATAAACAGTTTCATAATTAGTGGATTATTGTTTTAAAGTTTTAATATTAGTTTCTTATCTTGCTTGCACAACTCCTTAAGCAGCCCCCCTTAGTGGTCTTTAGCCCTGTGGTAAAGAATTACTCCACTAGACAACGCTCTACAGTCTTGTTTGCAAGCTCCTGAAATGCACTGCCAAAGCTTTTCTGGATCGGTGTGCTTTATGGTTGGCATTTAAAATCTCAGTTATCGTGATGTCGATAGCACTGCTGATTTTTTTGTGTGGTTAAAGTGAGTCTGTCTTGTGTTTATAGCCCAGAGACGGGCTGGATAAGGCTGTCCGGTTGAGTTATTGAATGTGCATCTGTGATTATGCATCATAATACTGAGAGTACTCCAAATTGGCTCCTGCTGATATTCATTAGTCTTTCCCCTGGAAGCAGATGATCAAATTGTCAGCTTCATGGCAGTCAGTAAACAGTGAGGTGAAATCAAAGTCAGACGAGAGAATGACTCTGCATTTATGCTTACAGCGTTAGCCTTTATCCTCCATTATAGCAATGATAGCTTGTTAATTGCCTCTCCCTATAATGCTCTTTATCTTTCAGTATTTAAGCCATATTCCAAATCATTTAATTAGTGTAAATGTAACAACATTTGCATATTCCTATCACTACTTTTCATGATTTAGTTTTATTATAGTAATACGTTTTGCTAACTAATATTTAATAATTTTTATATTTAGCTCTGATGACTGCCACTTAAAGTAAGTGACTGGTCTGAAAGAGACATCTTGTGGATATTTGATGCCACAGTTTGATGATATGAAGGCCTACTTTTAGGCTTAATTTACACTGCACAAGCGTTTACTGCGCATTGTGTGTGACATACAGGTTATGTACCAATGATGAAAATAATTATGCAGTTATTGTGATTTTGCCATTTAGACTAAAATGCTATTCAGCATTTTTTATTGCTTTTCTTCAGATTTAATCATAAAATAATGTACGAGTTGTTTTTGAGCATATAAGAGAATTCAAGCCAATTTTATTTGTATATTGAATTTTTATTGACCATTTAATTGTCTCAAGTAATTGCTTTAGACCTATTTTATGTTGTATTATATTTTTTCTTTGATATTTTTATTTTTTATATCAAGAATTGTGAAATTTCTAATAATAAATAATGTTGTATAATACTTTGGTATTGTAACTAGTATATTGTGATATACAGGGATCGGACAAAATAATGTGAACACCTGGTAAATAGGCCATATTTCTTTATTAAGGTGTTTTACCACCATTTGCCCTTAATACAGATTCCAACCTTGTTAGAATATATTCATACAACTTCTGAATAGTCTCCCTTTGAATGTTGAATCCCTTTGAATCAGAACATCTGTCAGTTGTTTCAGAGATGATAAAGGAGGGAATTGGCTTCTCACACTTCTCTCCCAAACTTCCCACAGTGGTTTGATAATATTCAAGTAAGGTCAGGGCGTATGTTGAAGTTCATCTTGGTACTCCATCTGTCCAGGTTTTATGATCTTGACACCATCTTTTTGCATTTTAAGAAGTTTTAGCAATTGCAGCTTTTCATGCTTGTTGGCTTTGTGGAGTTCTCTGTGGTCGGATTTTGCAGAAACATGGTCTTTAAGGTGAATATTGAGGTTTACTGTCAATTTTGCTGTAGTGGTTCCATTTTTTTTGTTGCAGCTTTACATTATTTTTTAACAGATTTGTAATAACTTTAGTTAATAGAAATAACTGAAATATCACATTGTCGTAAATATTCAGACCCTTTGTTCAACACTTAAAATTTAGCACAGGTGCATTCCATTTCTCTGGATCTTCTTTGACATTTTTGTAGACTTTCAGTGGAGTCCACCTATGGTAAATTCAGCTAATTGGACATGATTTGGAAAGGTACACACCTATATAATATCTAACAGCTGAAAATACATATCAGAGCAAAAACCAAGCCATCAAATCTAGGAAAGGCTAAGAAAACATTTCTGCTGCATTTAAGGTTCCCATTCTTAATGGAATGACGAACAACCAGGACTCCTCCTAGAGATGGTTGTTTGGCCAAAGTGAGCAATCGCTGCAAAAGGACCTTGGTAAGAGAGGTGACCAAGAACCTGAGATCATTTGTGGAGATGGGAAAAACTTACAGAAGGACTACCATCATTGCTACACTTTGCTGATCTGGGCTTTGAGGCAGAGTGACCACACATGAACATGACACACATGACCATTGACCACACATGTGAAGACACATGAAAGTCCACTTGTCCAATTTGCAAAAAAATAAAATAACCTGAAAGACTCTCAGACTGTAAGAATAAAAATTCTCTGTTCTGATGAACCTCAAATTCATTTCTGAAGGAAACCAGCAGGACACAATAGCTGAAGGAGTGCTGTACAGCTTCTATAGTACCGTCAAGGACCACAGGGGGGCAGCAGAAACTCACAAATATTCGCTCTAAAGAAAGCGTTATCCATTTCAATAAGCTTATCTTACAAAACATCCTACAGAAATAGTTCATTTACTCACCCTTGTGTTGTTCCAAACCCATATGGCTTTCTTTTTTTTCTGTGAAACACAAGATGTTTTGCAGCTGATCTTTTGCATAGAATAAAACGGGGAATGGGGATTGCTGATGAATGTGTCATAAATGAGCTCTTATGACTCATGCACTATTTTTAAGTCTTAAGAATTCATACGATAGCTTTGTTGGAGGAATAGACCCACATTCAGTTTCTTATTCACTTGTTCTCCTCTGCCACAGGAGTCAAATATTTGTTTGCATTGTGCCTGGTTTGAAGTTGATGCTGAAACTTGGTGTAAAGCATGAAGGTGAATAAAAGGAGACAGAACTTTTTTTACCCTGACATTACAGCCACTGTGCATCTGTGCAATTGTGTATTACAGATTAATGGGATGTCACCTCTTTCACTTCACCACTCTGCCAGGTGGTTTCATTAAATGTGTAGTAAAATACAGGCAAATTTATGACAGTACGATGTTGTGGCCATTGTGAAGGTGTAAATTAGGATGAAAAATCCCAAGGTGTTTAAGTAGCTGACGGTATCCACCTCTCTTGTGTATGGCTGATAGTTTTAAATTGGTTGTTTCCTATAAGATATTTAATTTAATAAGAATAGATTAAATCAATAAATAAATATATATATATATATATATATATATATATATATATGACATGTAAACTGATGAGCACAGTTCCTTTTTTATTTTGGGGCCTTTATTTTAGATATTCTAACAATAATATTAACAAAGCAATAGTCTCAAAATGGTTGGAAAATGTGTGTAGACTTAATCAGAATTTCCAATCCAAAAATAATACTGTATTTACCATATTCAGTTAAATTCATAAATATTTTATACAAAACATTTATTTGTATAATACTTTTTACATATTGTTTCAAAGCAGCTTAACAGAAAATGACACTGTTTCTTCATTACAGTTAAAATTCTGTTATCAGAGGTGATTGTGTCAAAGTAAAGTCCATATGGTAGAAATTTACAGATTATACAAATCAATTAGTTATTTAACATCACATTCATAAACAATGAACACATTAAAGCAATGATTGCATGATGTGATCTTAAAGGGGTCATATGATGCTTTTTTAAAAATCATTATTTTGCAACTTCAGGGATCTTATCTATGCACAGTCAGCTTGTAACACTCCAAAGAGAAAGGAAAACTTGAAATCGCATCATATGACCCCTTTAATGATTACAACATAAGAGTAATATAGCAGTTTTGTTTCAGTTTCAGTCATTATTTAAACATTTTCCCTGAAAGTTTGAGTTTGAATAGTCTGCAGGAGCATGATTATGAACAAAAATAGGCTCTGAAAGTGGACTAGATGAGTTCGATAAATACATGAGTTGAGCGTGATGATGTTTAATGTCCCTGTCGACCTTTGTTTTCCCATTTAGCCACTTGTTAACAACCGGCTTTTTCAAGACAAGTAAAAACGTGTAAAAACAAATCTAATGTATTTTATGTTGTAGACTAAATTATGAATCTAAAAAACACATATTGACTTCAGGACGATGGCAATGGAAGTGCTAAAATGCTAACTTGTTTCCAGGTTTTGGCGTTTAAAAATATGCGCTCCATAAGCAAATCATGTGAGCTAACAAAAATTTGACCAAATATACCATTTCAATAAAATTGGCATATAATTTATCTGACAAAACAATCCACTTTGGAGAAACCTTGGTCAAACAGAAATGAATTAGCAAATACAGTAAATATAGCACGCACACATTGTGACTTGTCAAATGTTAAACCAAGGCACAGAAATGACTCCGGATGTAACCAAGGGAAAGAAATCTGAGCGACGATGTTCTGCTCCCTCTCTCTGCCAGAACGTCTGTCACGCTCCGATATCAGCGCTCCTCGTCTGATTGGCTGAGTCAGAAAGGATGATTTCCTCCCCACTGCTTATGTATATTTCCTCAGACAGTTCAGCTGACCCAGTGGGCTGTGTGTCTGCACCTGCTCACTGACCTGGGCTATGCTAAGTCATGCAAGTTTGTTTCAAAGTGATGTGTCTGAGACACTGAGTAGCCAAACCAGCTAAAATTATAGGAAGCCATGTGATAGCTTTCTCATAAATGTTAACAAACATTTATAGAGGATGTATTTTAAATTCAGTCTTTATATTCTGGGAAAAATGAACTAGACTTTGATCAAATTGATTTTCATATAGGACATGTCAAAACATTGCTGTTGTAATTAATAAACATTAAACAACAAAATAGCAGTCAGCAAACCTGATCTCCTCAAACCTGAACAAGTACAATAACAGGTCAGATGTGGCAGCGTCGCTAGAGGGCAGCGTGTTTCCAACATGGGGAATTGCTACAAGATTGTTGAAGCAAGAGAAACACTGACATTATACATGACTACGTTCTTTCATTCTTTTACTCTCTCATTCTCTCT